CTGGTCAAAGTTAAAAGCCTCTATATGATGAAGTCCCTTACCAAACCAACCGACTATATCTAAAGAAACAACTCTATTTATTTTGTGGTACATCCATGCATGAGTATGTTAACAAGTTTAGTATAATTGTTTTTGAACTACTAAACATGGATGTTAAGTTGAAAGATAAAAATAAAATCTTATTTTTGTTGTCTTTGCTGCTTAATTCCTACGAACATTTAGTTACCATGTCGCTCTTCGAGAATGATATTACAGAGAATGATGACGTTATTGCATCACTTTTGCAAATGAATACAAAATAAAAGACTCTCGGAACTAACTCTTAAAATAGGGGTATGCAAAAATTCAAAAATTTGACTCTGGTACGCCTTTGTCACTGTCTGAGTTAGAGGAAAACTAAGAGTTTAATCAGAGTCAGAGTCCGAGTCAGAGTTCAAAATCCTTTCTAAAAAAAACTGTGGTTCTAGCTCTAACTCCGACTCTAATTTTTATTAATTAAAAATTTTACATAAATTATATAATATTTATATTATAAATCTAAAACCCTATCCTTCTACTCTAAGTGAAGTACACCTAATCCTACCCCACATTTGTTTCGTCTCTCTATACCTCTCTGTCTTTCTCTCTCTTTCTCACACACACACACATAGTCGACAACGAGGACGAGGCAATTGTTGGGAAAAATAGGTTTTCCCACAAGTGTAAATCAATGGAAGCAATATAAATAAAATAACAGAAAATAAATAAGCNAGAACAATCTTTCTCTCTCTCTCTCTCTCTCACACACACATGCACGCATTTAGTCATACACATAGATTTGAAAATAAGAAATCCCTCTCTCTCTCTCTCAGTCAACAAGTAGATCACAAATCTGAGATCTCAGACGTGGTTTGTTGGTGGACAAACATAATATAAAAGGGGTTGACAACAGTTGGAAAACAGAGAGTGAAGAAGAGAATTCTTGTAGAAAAATTAGAGAGAGTTGTTATCCAAAAATAGAGGCGGTGTGCAGCTTCAATAGCTAGTTTTTAAGGCTGTTGTTTTGAATGTCTTTTCTACTGGGAAACTCAGATAAGTCTTCCCTTCATATTCTTTGCTATTGTGTTGAAATTTGTGAAGAAATAGAAAACATTTTGGAGAGTTATACGAGATGTATGCAATTAGACTTTTTACCACTATTTGTTTTGTATGTGATCTTGTTCTTTGTGTTTTTGGTGAGGTTCCAGCTGCTATATGCCCAACAAATCTGATCTCAAATCTCAGCGAACCAGATCTTTGATTGGATTGGGTCCATTTTCGAAACTTCACTCTACCTTCGACGAGGTGGAGTCAAAAGCAGAATTGTAATAGTTTGAAGTCGTAATTGGATTAAAGAATTCACTCCAACTGAAGTTAGAGTCGAAGGTCGGATATGTGCCCTCCAACTCTATTGGAGTCGGAGCCCAGCCCTGCTCTCAAGTAGAGGGTCTATTTGTAAGAGGAAGGATGGAAAACATAAATCCCAGAAATAGTAGATCCATATCTAAATCTAAATGAAAAGATTTAAAAGAATTCTCAATGTCACAATTAAAGTTACTGGAAAGCGGAATGTCCAAATCGCAAGGCTAAGAACTGAAACAACAATGACAAGGTATGTAACTGTGTTATTGTTGTTGAAAAGAATTTGGATTATGCTGAAAATGTTTTGTCAATTTCGCCTTACAATGGAAGTATACCATATGGGTTGATTCTTGATTCTGGTTGTTTATACCACATATATCCTAATCGACATTGGTTTTCTTCCTACAAAGAAGTACAAGGTGGCACCTCTCTGATGGGCAGCAATATTGCCTTTAAAACATTTAGGGACCAAAACATCAAAATCAAGATGCACGATGGCATTGTGAGAACTTCAACGAGGCCAGACATGTTCTAGATTTAAAGAAAAACCTTATCTTGTTAGGTAGACTAGACTCCAATGGCTATAAGATTGCTGCACAAGGTGGAGNACCCCCACCCCCACCCCCAAAGGATCTCTTAAGAGGATCAAGATATTTTGACTTCTTTATTAATGAATTCTCACGTGAAGTATGGGTACACTTTCTGAAGAGTAAGGATGAAGTTTTTGAAATATTAAAGAAGTGAAAGGTTATGATTAAGAAGCAAGTTGGTAGGAAGATCAAGCAATTATAAGGCGACAATAGTGGTAAGTACAAGTACAAACCGTTCTTGAAATTTTGTGAAGATGAAGGGACTTCAAGACATTTCATATAAAGGATACACCACAAGAAGATGGAGTCGTAGAAAATATAAACCAAACCGTATTAGAGATAGGATGTAGTATGTTATTCAATACTAGATTGGGTAAAGAGTTTTGGGTTGGGGCTCTTAAAATGACGTGCTCTGTTATCAATATATCATTGTCAAAAGCCATAGAGTGTGAAAATCCTCACGAACTATGGTTAAGCAAGCCAACTGATTACAATTTCATTAGATTGTTTGGGTGTCTAGCTTATTTTCAAGTTAAAGAAGGTAAGATTGACCAAANTATGTTGTATGTTATTCAATACTAGATTGGGTAAAGAGTTTTGGGTTGGGGCTCTTAAAATGACGTGCTTTGTTATCAATATATCATTGTCAAAAGCCAGAGTGTGAAAATCCTCACGAACTATGGTTAAGCAAGCCAACTGATTACAATTTTCTTAGATTGTTTGGGTGTCTAGCTTATTTTCAAGTTAAAGAAGGTAAGATTGACCAAAGAGTTAAGAAGAGATTTTTCTTCGGCTATGCATTGGAGTGAAGGGCTACTAATTATAGTGCCCTGGAGTGAAGGGCTACAAATTATAGTGTCCCGAATTGCACAAGTTTGTGATCAACATAGATATAACTTTTGATAAGTTTATTATCACTGCAACAAAAATCGTTTTTCACGACATTTTTTTTTTCATCGCTAAAGGTCAAAAAATCGTCATCAATTTTTTTTGCGACGTTTTTTTTTCTTTTTTGTCGCGTGTTTGTCGCAAAAAGTATTTTGCAACGTAATTTTATTTTTGTTGCAAAAAAAATTTTTGCGACGAATTAAAAACGTCGCTAAATCTATTCCAACAATGTAAAAAAATAAAAATTAATAATTTAATTAATTTTTAGCGATGTAAAAAAATCATCTCAAATACTTTTTTCATAAATAAAAATGTAAAAAAATAATTTAATTAATTTTTTGCCACATAAAAAAATCGTCTCAAAAATTTTTTTTAATAAATAAAAAATGTAAATAATAATTGAATAAATGCATTCGCGACGATTNTCAAATACTTTTTTCATAAATAAAAATGTAAAAAAATAATTTAATTAATTTTTCGCCACGTAAAAAAATCGTCTCAAATAATTTTTTTAATAAATAAAAAATGTAAATAATAATTGAATAAATGCATTCGCGACGATTTTAATTTCGTCGCAAAAAAATTCTTTTTTTAAAAAAATAATATTCCAAAAAAAATTTTCACTTGTACACCAATAATACCTATGTTCAATAAAAAACTTACACAATTAATACATTTCGCATCTTTTTAAAAAAAAAACAATTTTATTTCAAAAAAGAATGAATTACAAGAATTAAAGAACATTAAGTTCTAAAAATAGAAAAAATGGCTTTAATCCTTTAAGAGGATTTAAACCATCTCTAATTACATTTAATGTCTCATATCAGCACCCAAGCCTCAAGCAAGCTCCATGCAACTGCTTCATATCCAACCACCTTCTCCTGATAGAAATAATTCATTGCTCCATGACAACCCAGATTTTTCAATCCAGCAACACAGACCAGCGTCCCAGTCTTCAAAAACAGGTTCAAATTATTCCTTATAGCTCTTTAATGCATTCAATCTGCCCCCAGTAAAATGGCCAAGTTCTGCTCCTGCTTCTGAGGCTTTCGTTTGTGTCAGAAGACTATTCAAATCAACACACCAAAAGACTACAAGTGTTCATTGCTAGAAATAATGGATATTTGGTGAATAATATGAATTGAAACATGTAGGCTTACCTGTACATGCACATTCTAAAACTAACAATTGCATTACGCAACAACACTGCCAAAAAAAAAAAGCTACTATTAATGGCGATAAGATTTTGCTATAGGGAAGTAGCGCCCTGGTTTGGTCTGTAAAAAAAAAAATTGCTTTTGCTAGAGTGTTGGTAGACAAACTTTTACAGATGTAAGGTAGAGGAAACTCCTGCATCACATTGCCTTGNGCTACTATTAATGGCGATAAGATTTTGCTGTAGGGAAGTAGCACCCTGGTTTGGTCTGTAAAAAAAAAAAAATTGCTTTTGCTAGAGTGTTGGTAGACAAACTTTTACAGATGTAAGGTAGAGGAAACTCCTGCATCACATTGCCTTGAAAAAGGACCAAACAATTTGTGGTGGGGGGAACAATATTTGTCCTAAAAGCAGAGGCAGCACCCAAGTTGAAGGGTTTTGCAAAGAGTCAAATGACATTAAATTTGAGAGCCAAGCTGTGACTCAAACTACATCCCAGAAACTTAGCAAGTGCCTAATCCAACAGCCAACAACTATGAAGAAGATGGTAATGAAGAGGAAGTACATTTTTTTTTTGATAAGAAATACACTTTTATTAGTAACTAGTTGGTGCACACGTGCGTTGCACGTGAGCCATTTTCAAGTTAAAATCTTTGATTTGGTGTGTTGTGGCCTCCTCTAACACATATTGGTATCAAATGTTAGATTAATTTCTTAATACACATTCACACAATAACTTGGGAATCTGAATTTCTACATTGCATTACTTCTTTTATTTTGGCCTTAAGTGTTGTCATTGGCATCCAAACTTTAATGAAGCGATGACAGGATACAATCTTTGGCAAAATATACTAATGAAAGGAAAATAAAATAGGCTATTAATGTAAAAATAACCGAAAGCATATAGTAGGTTAAACATAAAGTGATTGCACAGAAGTCATTAAATAACTCATGTGATATGAATGTATCAAGTAGTAACTCATATATCAATGCTTGTATAATCGAAAGCTTAACCCAAAGCATACTATAGCAAAATCAATGCCTGTAATCTGATTATTTGCTCCGAAATCGGTTCCAACTTGAAAGTTTGGATTATATTGCTGCTTCTGAGATTCTAATTTTCCATAAAATCCTTCCAAACCAGGTTCTAGTAAGTGATTACCATCTATAGATTTCAAGTAAGGAGCCAATTCTGTAATGCAAGCCTAGAGAAAAATTACAATCAAGTAAATCAAGCAGCTTTTCATCAACTATCTTGAAATTAAAATAATGGCCAATCTAATTAAAAGCAACCAACTCGTGCTAGTGCTTTGTTAAGTCATGTGAAGGGTGTAGGTAAGTTCACAGACCACACACACACACAGAGCAGAAGGTCGTAAATAAATGTTGCTTAGAATAGATCTCTAAGTGAAATGATGAGTAGACAAAAAGTAGCAGGAAGATGTTTCTGGCCTGTATGGTTTCCCCTGATCGATCTGAAGTGCATTGAGGCTCATTCATAAGCTCCCAAGCCATTATTGTAGGCTCATCCTTGTAGGCAACTCTAGTCATGCTGTTTTTCCTTTTACGAACAGTCTATAAAAAAAAAAAAGAAACATTGATAATTAGTTGAAATTCGAGTAGATATCAAGATTCTAATTCACAATGGCTAATTACTGTCTATATTTGTTGGGCTATGGAGATCACATTAACACTAACAAAATCAAGTCTGAAACTAAAACGCAACTCCTGCATGATTCTTCATCCTCCCCCCCCCCCCCCCCCCCCCCCCCCCCCCCCCCCTTAAAA